TCCTCATCGATGATTTTAGCCACAGGAGGATGGACGGGCCATCTTCACTTCCTGCCCCGTGGATTCTCCTGATACCCTTGGCCTCTAGGTACAAGGGAGTCAGTGCCCTGGTACCCTTGCCAATGACAGACGGGAGGCTTTGGATAAACATTCCCATCTCCAGTCCTCTGGGTGGTGGGGATCACTTGGAGGGGGGCACTGGAATGCTTCTCACAAAGTCCAGGTGGAATCCATCCCTTGCCCATGGCATCCCCCTCAGTGACATGCCTTATCTTGGTTTCTCCTCCTTCCCTGTCCCTCTCTGCCTAATCCTTACCCTGCTCCTGGGACCACCTCCAAAATAAAGTCTCAGACCCATCCCCAAGCCTAGTCTCAGACTCTGTTCTCACAGATACAGCAGCAGGTTTCAGGAGCTGCTCTAACAAAGTAAGGCTGGATGGCTCAAATAACAGGAATTTACTCTGTCATAGTTTGGAGGCTGGAAGTCTGAGATCAAGGTGTTGGCAGGGCTGGTTCTTTCTGAGGCTGAGGGAAGGATGTGTTCCAGACCTCTCTCCTCGGTTGGTAGATGGCCACCTTCTCCCCATGTCTGTTCTTATCACCTCCCCTCTGTGTCTTGGGCCCAAATTTCCCACCAGTCAGATTGGATTAGGCTCCAGGCTAATGATATCATTTACATTTGATTATCTCTGTAAAGACTCAATCTCCAAACAATGTCATACTCTGAAGCCCTGGAGGTTGGGACTTCAACCTGTGGATTCAGGGAGGTGAGAGGGGTGGAGCTGGTTCTGGAAACACAATTCTACCCGTAACAGAAACTGAAGCTAAGAGAGGGTCGTGGACACGGGTTTCAGAAACAGACCTGTAGGGTGGGACGTGGACACGGGTGCCCCACAGTCAGACCTCTGTGATAATCCCTGACTGTGCTCTGCACTGGGATAGGCAGCAGAGATGAAGCACTGGATACAAGACGGTAGCCCTGAATGTGGAGTTGGCTCAGTGTGAAAGCTCAAACAGAGAATCGGCAGACCCAGGTCAGCCCGCTCTCAACTTGGGCTTTCTAGGTTTTTTCTATTTTTAATATTTTATTTATTTGGCTGCATCTTAGGTGCGGCCCATGGGCTCTTTGTTGCCAAACCTGGACTTCTCTAGCTGTGGTTCTCAGGCTCAGTAGTTGCCCTGCAGCATATGGGATCTTAGTTCCAAGATGAGGTATCGAACCCTCATCCCCAGCACTGGAAGGTAGATTCTTCACCACTAGACCACCAGGGAAGTCCCTCTTCTAGATGTTGTTGTGGAAAGTATAGTTATTTTTCATAGATGTATGTGCGTGGTGTGTGTGCCAAGTCCCTTCAGTCGTGTCTGACTCTGCAACCCTGTGGACTGTAGCCCACCAGGCTCCTCTGGCCATGGGATTCTCCAGGCAAGAATACTGGAGTGGGTTGCCATTTCTTTCTCCAGGGGATCTTCCCAACCTAGGGACTGAACCCACATCTCTTATGTCTCCTGCATTTGCCACTAGCACCACCTGGGAAGCTCCTCATGTATGTAAATGAATCATAGTTTTTGCATTTTATTTATGACAGTGTTTAAAGGGCCCCTGACGTCCCGCAGCCATGGGACATATCCTGCAGACCATGGGGCCCAATATTTAGTCGTAAGAGAGGCAGAGCTGCAAAGGAGACTGAAGAAACAGCTTCATGGGCCTCTTATGCTAAGCTGGGGGCCAATGGGAAGGAAGCAGAACCTGAAGCCCTAGGATGAAAACATTAGGGATAAAGGATCTACGAACCTTGCCCACCAGAATCCCCTGACCCCTCTGGCTGGCATCATTAGCCCATGGACCACCTGGTGCCCATTTGAGGGCCCCACCTGAGGCAGATACCCCTCAAAATCACTCTTTTCCTTCTCAATTCACCTTCATTTCCCCTCCTCATCCCAGCATTGACCAGAGACAGCTCACTCCTTCACAGGAGGAAATGCCTTACCCTCCTGAAGAACTGCAAGGCCCACTGACACACTCAAGCAGGAGTGCTGAGACCACGTTTGGGACTGCATGGAGGGTTTGAGACTTAACCAGACAGGGAGAATGTATGATGAGAGCACCTCCAGATCTCAAGATTAACAAGCTTACACGGATGCCTGGCGTGGGCCCAGTGTATTGCCAAGATGGATCTGGGGTGGGGATGGATCTGAGAGGCCTGCAGGGCTCACCCCAGGGCTGCAGCTCTTCCCTAGACATGGCTGTGACGACATCGCAAGCAATGAAAGGTGTCCAACAGCTTTTTTTCTAAAATCATCTTTAATGTAGTTTTAATAATTTTTTTGCCTCATTTACCAGATAAATCATCTAAATAAATAGATGCTATACAGTCTCTTACCAACATCAGTAGAAAAATAAAACCATGCTCTGCATCTGCTCCAGCTCTCCCCGCACACACTCACTCGGAAAAGGCATGTGCTTGGAATCGACTCGCGCCCCCCAACCCCTCCCAAATACATTCATTTAGTCTGAACAAAGCTCGACGCTCATTCTGTGCAAAGGAAGCGTTCTTGTGCTGAGCCCTGGAAGCCCGGCGGGCCAGTTATAAAGCAAAGGCAAAAACCACCGGACCAGCAAAGCGCCCTCTCCCGGGGCAGGAGCCAAGGAGGAAGCTGGCGACGGGACCACCATCCTGAGAGCAGAGGTGGTCCTCAAGTGGCCTGCGCCATCAGCAGGGGGGTGGCTGTGCCAGGGGCAGAGAACATGCCCTTTGCCCCACCCCACAGCAAAACAAAAGTACCAACCAGTCTCTACATTCAAAACAGGTGGGGCTGGGGGAAGGAAAGGCAGGTGGTCCAACTGTTTCAACGCCCCCTCCCCAAGTGAGTACTGGCCTTCTGGGGTGGCTGTGGGGTGGGGAGGGAGGTCGTGCCATTTGTCCCCTCACCCCAAGCCCTGCTGGGATGCTCAGGGCTGGAGGAGGCCTGAAGGCCACTTCCAACCCCTCGCAAAGGTCTCTGTCCTGTGTCCTGGATGGGTAGGTCCTAAGGGCTCTGGCTCCCAGGGTTGAGCCCTCCAGACAGCAGGGCACCCTGTGTGCCATGAAGGGTTGATAATCAAGCAGTGTTCCACCGCAGCAGTCACCTCATCCCACAAAAGAGCTCCCTACCCCAAACCAGTACATGACACAAACAGCTCTTCAAAGTGAGGCCTGAGGTGGCCACCTGTCCCCGGGGATGGGGTGAGTGTGACTTCTATTGGAAGCTGCCAGCCAAGTCCAAAGCTAGGGCCAGCATCTTTCTGTCACAGCAAGGCCCCTGCCACCACCCTCCCCTCTGCCAGGAGCCCCTGACCTGGACAGCCACCCAATCTGGCTGCCCATCCCCTCCCCAGGGGTCCAGGCAGGAGGGTTCCCCACAGCCCCTTGGTTCCCCAGTCTACCCCCACATACTCCTCTGGACACAAACCCCTAGACTGGGGGTGAATCAAGTCATGGGGTGGGGGTGGTGCCATCCCCCAATGGAAGCACTGAATTGACCCTGGACAATGAAGGACTGAAAAAGAAGGGGGGACCCACACGCAGGGATCTGGGATCTGGCCAGCAAGGCACCCCAAAGAAAAATGGGGTGCAGGGTGTCTTTGGTTTGGGAACTTGGGAAGAAGGGGTCTGGGGAAGAACTGTCCTATTGGGAAAGCCTCAGCAGGATTCTGCCTACTTCCTGAGGACAAAGCAGAGCATAGAGCTGGCCCTGGGGTGGGGTGGGGGTGGGGGGGTCGGGACCCAGTGCCTGGCCTGAGATGGGGACAGGGGAGGGAGCCAGTCTTGAGCTTGCTCCCCTGGTGCCCACCCCCAACCTGGCTTCTCCCCTACAGGGCCAGGGTAGGGAAGAGGTCACTCCTCACTACAGGGAGAAGCCACTAGTCCACAGGACGTGTCTGTGCAAACTAGAAACAGAGCGCCCCTTCTTCTGGCAGACACAGGCCCTGCCAGGGCGGGGACAGGGGGCGGGGCTTGGACACAGCCTGACCCACCCTCCACTACAGCCCGATCACAGGAAGACATGGCAGAGGTCCCCCCACGGGGAAACAAGGTTAGTCCCAGCTGCAGCATTGAGGGTGGATGCGGGGAGACCCAGAACAGGAGGAGGAAGGGTGTCAGGGGTCAAGGGCTGCCCTGAGAAGGTGGTGGGACGCTCCCTCCCTCCCTGACCACCCACACCCACGTCTGGTTGGCTGACTTGGAGGGGGGGTGCAGAAAAAGAGGGGAGGGGAAAGGCTGGAAAGTCACCTGAGTCAGAGAAAACAGGGGCCTCGGCGGGGAAGGGGTGTGCAGGAGAGGAATGGAACCCAACTGCCTCAGAGCTTGCGCTGATGCAGGGCACACATGCACACACTTGCACACCTGTGGCTGCGCTGGTGCAGGGCATACACACACACACACACACACACACACATACACCCGTGACTGCGCTGGTGCAGGTCACACATGCACACATCTGCACACCTGTGACTGGCCAGGTGAAACCACAAAACGGCATCCCATACCTGGAGCACTCAAGGCCATCTGGCCGCCCCCTGACCGCCGCCCCTCCCGCCCCCCGCCGGACCCCTGCCAGCCACTGACGGCGTAAGCAAGTTGATTGGACAGATCCTGTCAGGTGAAGCGCAGGGAGCGGGGGTGAGTGGGGTTACCTATGGCAAGCTCTTTTGTGCTGTGATTCACCACCCATTCACCTGGTCAGGGTTTCTAAACGAAGTTTGCAAGACCCGCTGCACATGGCTACGGACACGTGCGTGCAGTCACGAGGGCATGAGGGCCAGTGCACACACCTGCGAGGCCGGGTGCGCACGTGGGCAGTTTTCACAGGCCAGGTCGGGGGGGTGGGGTGGGGAGTAGCTCTCAGCGGAAGGGGCTTATTAGCTGGCAACCACCCCACCCGGGGGAGACCTCTCTGGGTTGTGGCCAGCAATCTCCAACCCTTCCGGGCGGCCCCTCAGCTCTCAGACCCCGTCGCTTTTACTCAAAGCCAGCCTCCATCTCCCCCGAAGAGCGGGAGTGGAAAGTTAAAAGACCCCTCCCCAAACACACACACAGAAGGGAAAAGGGGTAACCAACCAGAAAGGCGGGGGCAGGATGCTCGGGGGGAGGGCTCAGGTCTTCCCGTCCTCCTTTAGTCCCGGGACCAGTTGCTGTCTCTCCGGAGAAGAAGTGGGCCAGAGGGGTTCGGGGGAGGCTGGCCCTGTCCCCGTCCTGCCCTGGAGACGGCGCCCCAAGTGACAGAGCAGTGCCAGGCCGTGACAGAGCAGTGCCAGGCCTCCCCAGGCCCCGCCCTGCCCCAGCTCTGAAAATGTCCGTCCGCGCAGAGAAAGGGGCGGGTGGGGGGGACAGTGTTGGGAGCATCACCCCTTCTCCTGGTCAATGTTTTTGTTTTTTTTAAATAAAATAATTATCCCGCCCTAACCCCCTCCTCATCTCCGGAAGTCCCCACCCCAAGCCCCAAAGAAAACAGTTTAAGAGTTAAAAATGGCGGATCAGAACTTCCCGCTGCGGTCTCGGAAGAAGCCCTCGGCGGCCTGGGCCTCGCGGAAGGTGACGGTGATGGAGTTGGCCGTGATGTCGGTCACTGTCACTTCACTTGAGGGGAGCGTGGGTGTCCAGGAAGGTGGCCCCTCGCCCAGATCTGCCTCTGCTGCAGCCGTGGAACAGACGGACAGACAGACAGACGGGAGTGGGGGGAGGCCAGCGTTGGCAACAAGGCGGGGAAGGTGGGCGTGTGTTGCCGCGTGTGAACCCCCCTTCCACCCACCCCCCCCCCAACCCCAACACCATAACTTCCTCTGAGTTTCCAGCCAGGTCAGAGCCTAGTTCGAGGCTGGCCACACGGGGAGAGGTTACAACATTTATCTTCCCTGGCTGGACATGCACTCCTTCCGAGTGGGACCACGGAAATAACTCTGGGCTAGGTGCCAGGGTGCCCCGCAGGCTGAGGGGACCCTCTCTGGGCCCTGACAACTCGAGGGGCCTTGCCAGCTCTGAGGGTCCCTGGGTCTGAGCCGGGGGCCGGGCTGCCTTACCCTCCTCTTCGGGGGGCTGCTCGGCAGGCTCCCACTCGCTGGCCGCCTGCAGGACGTCCTGGGCCGGTGACTCCTGCAGGAAGAGCTCCCGTCGATGGCTGTGACTCTCCAGGTTGGGCCCGCGGGGCGGGAACTTCTTGCGTGAGAGCCGCAGGTACTTGTGGGCCTTGCGGGGCTTGCGGAGCGGGAAGGGCAGGGTGGGCACCAAGGGGCCCTTGTCCGCCAGCTCGGGCGCCCCCGCCTTGACCACCCCCTCAGGGCTCCCGCTGCCGAGTGGGCGCGTCAGGGAGAAGCAGAGCTTCTCCTCGCCCTTGGCCTTGTGGGAGCTCCGCAGGTCCATGCCGTACAGCCGCTGCGGGGGCAAGCCAGGGCACGGCGGGTCAGCCCCGCCCTCCCGCCCGCTGCCGCGCCTTGGCGCACGCCGTCCCTCCCGCCCGGGGTCCCTTCCCCAAGGTTCGGGGCTCAGAACCAGCCCGCACCCCACCCGGCACCCCAGCCCCCGGGCCGGGCCCAGCTCGGCCTTCATCTTGGCCCCCGAGGCACAGCCTCATCTCAAGGGCCAGGGCTGCAGGTCGCGTTCCTTCGATCCACGGCAGAGGAGCAGACAAGAAGTACAGATGGAAAGGTGACCAACAGAAAACACACCTGGATTTCTGCGGCTGATAAATTAAGGAGCTATTCATCATAGGAAAGGAATCTTTGCTTCTAACAGGCCCCCAAAGCTGAAACGGTCAGCTGCCAGGGAGACGGTGGGAGGCACAGGGCTCTGAAGTTTCTTGGAGAAAGTTAACACAGCATTGGGGTGCACCGTGTCACCCAGCTATAGGGACGAAGTGCTGCTGGCAGGCCGCAGACGCCCCTTGATTCCCCCAGGGCCTTCCTCGGCTCTGAGCTGCAGGGAGGGGTCCTGTCTGGGTCTAGACTCCAGTCGATGTCCTGCCTCATTCATGTTAAAAGGGGCTGGATGGCACGTGCTTCCATCATTCAAAGGCTGAAGTTTTAAAATTCGTGGACTTGTCTTACTGACTCCTAGGGGAAATTCACACAAATCCAAGAAAGGTCCCCGGGGCTACGATGTTGAGGGCCTGGGCCATTCTGGGGCAGGAGCTCCTCTGCTGTCACCAGAGGCCAAGAGTCCCCAGAAGAGAGTGAGGCCCACAGATGGGACCTGCATGTCAAACATCTCAATGGGGACAGAGCATCACAGGTGCAAGCTCCGTGCTCCAGTCCCACCTGCTAATCCCCATCACTTGGCATGGGCCTGGGTTGTCATGATGATGGGAAGAGGGCTGAACTGGGAGGAGACTGTGAAGTTACTGCAATGCCTCAGCACTGCAGGGCTCATCCCATATGCAGCTTTATCAGAAACCACTCCTTCAACCTGACTCACAGGCTGAATAAACTCTCGTAGAGTTCTGTTCTTCTGTACCTCACCATGAGAGAATTACAGTTACTAATGGGTCTGGGAGCACCAAGAGTCAGATCTGGGTTTTAGTCTAGCTGTGTGACTTGGTACTGGTCTCCCAGAGCCTCAGTTTCTTCTATCAATGAAATGAAGAAACCAAAAAAAAAAAAAAAAAGAAGAAACCATAGCAGCCAGCTCCAAGATGGTTCCAAATATCTGCCACTGGGAATTCACACCTGTGTGGAGTCCCCTCTATACTGAATACTGCAGTGTGGGACTTCCGAGGCTAAGTCACTAAGGACATGGTGCTTTGTCCTTGCTCTTCCTGTTCACCCACCCTGGGGGAGGCTAGTGGCCCTACTATGAGGCCAGCCAGCAGCCCTATGGAAAGGCCCAGCACTGAGGAACCAGGCCTCCTGTCAATATCCAGTACTGATGCACCAGGCACATGGGTAGCCACGGTAGGAGCAGATCCTCCAGCCCCAGTCGAGCCTTCAGATGAGTGGATTTCCAGCTGACATCATGACTGTAATCAGAGCCAGAATCACTGAGGAACCAGCTAAGGTACTCCCTGATTCCTGACTGAGACCATGTGGTGGAAGTGTTTACTGCCTTAAGTTGCTCAGTTAAGGGTTAATTTGTTACACAGCAATAGATGACTGAGAACACCTTCCCTGTGGGTTTGGTGTGCAGATAAACTATTCGTTCATGAAGAGCACGGAGCACAGAGCTCAGTCTGACGTGCTATCTTTCTCAGGACCCAATTAACACCAAACCCCAGGGATCACACCCACTGTAGGAAGGGAGACCCATCTAATCTGGCAAAAGCCTCATGTGATCTACAATTTAGAGTGGACAGGAGGCTAGACATGGCTCACACTGCACATGAACCAAGAAGCCTTATGTTTTGGCTTTAAAGTCCCAGGTGGGCCTAATTAAGGACAGCTGGTATTGTTATCATCCGCATTTTGTAGAAAAGAAAACTCGCGCTCAGAGACGTGCCTTGAATCACAGAACTACATCACTCTAGCCTACATCCTCTTTTCAGTGCTAACCAGCAAAGGGTAGCAGAGTGCCCTCAAGACCTCAAGCAGAGGGTTTCTTCTCACTCAAAATGACACATTTCTAGGACATTCCAAGGCTATGATTCCAATATTCTATGAATCTCCTTTTCTTAGATTCTAACATTCCAGACTCCCCTTGTTTCCTCAACTCTCAAGTTTATGCTCCTAATGTTCTCAAATACTACAACTTTGTATTTTGGGGACTGTGAGCATCAAAGAGGCTTATTTACGAGATTCTAAGCTTTCAATATTCTAGGATCCCATGAGCCATACATCCACCCTCCCTCCCTCCACCAGATCTCCCACCCATGCTGTCTTCCCCTGGGCACCATCCCGAATTCTGACTTTTCCCAACTCCTCCCACTGAAACTTACCCACTAAGTGCCCCACCCACCCCACCCTCCACAGTGCCCTGGATGGAGCCAGAGGAGGGTTAGTGGTTTAGCAGGACCAGCCGGTGCAAAGGCACAGATGGTAGGGGCGGGGGTGGGGGAGCAAGGGGCCCTAAGGGATGGCACCAGAGCTGGCCGGGTTACCTGCAGCAGAAGCCGTTTGGGTTTCGGACCTCTCTTCCTATACCCCGACGCTCGGTCTCTCTCCTCCCTGGGGTGCAAAGCAGATGGCAGAAGAAAAGGAGATACTGGTGACATTTAAGGGTAAGTAAGGTGTCCGCTCCACCTGGCCCTCTGCTGTCTACGGGGGAGGGGGGCACCCACCACGGGCTACCGCCCGTCCTGGGGTCGGGCTCCTCCCGTTGCTTGCTTTAGGCCATGACAATGGGGTGGAGTGTTCAACTCCCAGGGCTCCCTCTTCTCAGCTGACTAAAGGTGAGGGCACAGCCACTGGTCCCAACCACTGAGGTGGGACTCAGGGGGCATCTCCAAAAACATGTGGTCTGCATGGCCCCAAGGTCAGGCCAGACCTCTGCTCTCCATGCAACTGGGAACAACCCCCAGAACAATTTCCAGTTTCCACTCTTAGGAGACGTGTAGAAAATTTGTCTTGAACGGGGCCAGGGGAGCTGAGGAGAATGGCGGACGAGTCCTTCTGCACATGAGGCTCTGCCCAGAACTCCCCGCCAATTTGGGATCTGCACGAACCTGGTGGGGAAGACAGGCTCCCATTGCCTGTATTGTCTGGCTGGGGAAGGGGAGAAAACTAGCTTGCATTCAGTCCCCAGCAGATGCCAGACTCTCTGCCGGATGCCCTCCTCACTTCACACACATGCAAGGCTCAACCTGAGGACGCATACAAAGACACACACCACGCAACAACGCCAGATACCCCAACCATGTGCTGGAAGTGGTGGGACGATTCAAAGTCATTGCACCTGACTTCATTCCACTCACGCTTTCTGAGGCCTTAGGCCAGTCTCTCAGTCTGAGCCCAGTTAAGCCAGTGGGTCCATGGCTCCTGTTTTCCTCCTCCAGGGAGTGGCTGCCACCCGCTTCCAGGCATCAGACTCCAGGGGCGCTGGGGGTGGAGCTGTCCCTCCCACCCTGTGGAGCTGGCTTCAGCAGGTCTGCTCTGGGGTCCCAGAACCAGTGTTTTGAGAGAAGCACCAAGGGCATGCGATACCCAATCAGGCCTCCCCTATCCTGGGGAGTGAGAATCTAATCTCAGAGCCTGGTGCTGGGAGCCCAGGTCACCCCTACCTGACCCAGGGGACACCCTGGCTGGCCACTCTCCCGTTCTGGGCCTCAGTTTCCTGGTCTGGAGCACGAGCTTCCCTTCTCAGCTGAGCCCTGGGGCTCTTGGGGGGAGCAAGAGGTCCCTGACATTTCTCAAAGTGGCGGGGGCGGGGAGTAGAAAGACTAAGATTATAGAGAGGAAGAGAGGGAAGAAAAAGAAAAAGGA